ACATCAATTAGCAGTCAAACGGCATGATATCTCCTCACTTATATCAATACACGTGGACAACTGTGGACACACATTCGATTGGAAAAATGTGGAAATCTTGGACAGAGGAAACTCTAAAAACACAAGAGAATTCTTAGAAGCTTGGCACTCAGGTCAATCAGCAATCAACAAACATATTGAAATTGATCCGATTTATCAACCAATCAGGAAACTTATGCACGAATATAGGAACAAGAATCAAACCAATAGGGGACAAAATAAAAACAAAAAAGTAAACAATGACAAAATTAAGGTCAATAAGAACCAATCAACATCGAGGTGCACAGAACAAGCTGTGAAACACATATGGAGAAATTCGAACACTTCACTTCTATCTGAAGTTTGTGCTGATGATGTCGTTCAGAAGAACGATGAAAGCTCCACGACCAAACCATCCAGCTCAGAGAACAAAACTCCATCAAAATCATCCACCTGAGCTACAAATCTTCTCCACCATCTCAAAATCATATGAGCGTGATACGCTTCTCGTTGTTCGAAAATGGGAGAAGTTCGCCAAAAGGCAAGCTTCCACTCGAGAACAACTATACTTTCTCTATGAGTGCGTCAGCAACCACGTTCTACCAACAAGTGTAAGATATAGACCTCCAATCAACTGCCCATTAGGATGGAAAAAAGCTGAGGAAAGTGGAAGAAAAATGGTACACCTAATGATAACAGATGCACACTACAGAATCCACAAATACCAACACGTCATAGAGGAACAAAAGGTGAAGCTACAAAGGACTCTCACGTCAGAACATTTAGAAATCTTGACAACAGCCATCGAGATATAATGAAAACGACACAGAGAACAAAAAAGGAACCGACTAAAGAAAAAACTAACCAAGATCTCAAAAGCAACCAAGTAAGAAAACACAAACAACTGCGTGATCAATCTATTAAAACAACCCCTAACAAACACCGAAGAACGCTTACTCCAAAAAGGATTAAACTACAACACAAGCGACGCCTCAAAAATAGAATTCTTCGCAGCACTAGAGTCATCACTCAAATCTTCTGGATTCAGTGAGGAGACACAACAAAAAATAAGGCAAACTATAGTACCGCTAACTCAACAGGTGAAGGAAAACAACCAACTGACCCCACAAGAACAAAAAGCCTTGAAGGAACTTAGAACTAGAAAAGATATTGTCATAGTTCCAGCGGACAAAGGACGCACAACAGTAATTATGGACAAGGAGGAATACTTCAAAAATGCCGAACAACTACTTGAAGATAAGAACACATACAAACTGATAGATATAAATCCTGTCAAGAAATTGGACAACAGAATCTCAAAGACATTAAACAAGCTAGTCAAAGCAGGAGAAATAACAAAACAAGATCAATGGAGAATGAAATCCAATGGACCAGTACTCCCTCGATTCTACGGCAGACCGAAAATACACAAACCAAACATTCCACTACGTCCAATTGTAGCACTGCCCGGAACGCCAACATACAATTTATCAAAAGAAATTTCACGAATACTGAAACATTTAGTCGATTCATCCAACCACTCTATCAAATCTCCTACACAATTCCTGCGCCAAATTAAGGACATTCAAATCAACCACGACGAACTGATGATATCTTTTGATGTAACAATATTATTCACCTCAATTGAACCAAAGTTAGCGAAAGAAACTATTTCCCTTCTCCTCGCCAGCGACACGAATCTCACAATGTACACAAAGCTTCAAAGTAAAAGTCTACTAGAACTCATCGATTTATGCCTAACGACGTATTTTCAATTCAACAACAAAATCTACGAACAAACGAAAGGGACACCAATGGGGTCAATAATATCAGGAGTGATCGCAGAAGCAGTGATGCAAAGACTAGAAGCCGCAATACTACCTGTGATCAAACCAAAAATCTGGATTCGCTATGTAGACTACACATTCGTCATCGTCAAAAAGAATGAGCTAGAAAACACTTACAAACTGATCAACAACGTCTTCGATGACATCAAGTTCACAATGGAACAGGAGACAAACAACAAACTACCATTCTTGGATATATTAATCACTAGAACTAATACAGGAAAACTAGAAACTCAAGTATATAGGAAACCGACCCACACAGATCAAATTCTTAATTACAATAGCAACAACCCAAGAGCACATAAAATCAACTGCGTACAAACTTTGTTCAAGAGGGCGAGGACACACTGCAGCACACTGGCAGCACGAAGAAAGGAAGAGAAATACCTGAAGGACGTATTTCAAAAGAATGGCTACCCAATCAACTTCATCAAAAAATACCAACCACATGCAGCATCAGAACACAAATCAAGCACAGAAATTGACAAACGGATCACACTACCATACATAAATGGCATATCAGAGACCGCAACAAGACTGCTAAAAACCTTCGGAATAGGTGTGGCACACAAACCGACAAAATCACTACAGTCAATTCTATGCAAACCAAAGGATAAAATAACAAAAGAAGATAAATCAAACATCATCTACAAAATAAATTGTGTCAACTGCGACAAACACTACATCGGACAAAGCGGACGCCCCCTTCACCTGCGCCTACATGAACATCAATTAGCAGTCAAACGGCATGATATCTCCTCACTTATATCAATACACGTGGACAACTGTGGACACACATTCGATTGGAAAAATGTGGAAATCTTGGACAGAGGAAACTCTAAAAACACAAGAGAATTCTTAGAAGCTTGGCACTCAGGTCAATCAGCAATCAACAAACATATTGAAATTGATCCGATTTATCAACCAATCAGGAAACTTATGCACGAATATAGGAACAAGAATCAAACCAATAGGGGACAAAATAAAAACAAAAAAGTAAACAATGACAAATTTAAGGTCAATAAGAACCAATCAACATCGAGGTGCACAGAACAAGCTGTGAAACACATATGGAGAAATTCGAACACTTCACTTCTATCTGAAGTTTGTGCTGATGATGTCGTTCAGAAGAACGATGAAAGCTCCACGACCAAACCATCCAGCTCAGAGAACAAAACTCCATCAAAATCATCCACCTGAGCTACAAATCTTCTCCACCATCTCAAAATCATATGAGCGTGATACGCTTCTCGTTGTTCGAAAATGGGAGAATTTCGCCAAAAGGCAAGCTTCCACTCGAGAACAACTATACTTTCTCCATGAGTGTCTTCGCCAGCACGTTCTACCAACAAGTGTAAGATATAGACCTCCAATCAACTGCCCATTAGGATGAAAAATAGCTGAGCAAAGTGGAAGAAAAATGGTACACCTAATGATAACAGATGCACACTACAGAATCCACAAATACCAACACGTCATAGAGGAACAAAAGGTGAAGCTACAAAGGACTCTCACGTCAGAACATTTAGAAATCTTGACAACAGCCATCGAGATATCATGCAAACGACACAGAGAACAAAGAAGGAACACACTAAAGAAAAAACTAACCAAGATCTCAAAAGCACCCAAGGAAGAAAACACAAACAACTGCGTGATCAATCTATCAAAACAACCACTAACAAACACGGAAGAACGCTTACTCCAAAAAGGATTAAACTACAACACAAGCGACGCCTCAAAACTAGAATTCTTCGCAGCACTAGAGTCATCACTCAAAACTTCTGGATTCAGTGAGGAGACACAACAAAAAATAAGGCAAACTATAGTACCGCTAACTCAACAGGTGAAGGAAAACAACCAACTGACCCCACAAGAACAAAAAGCCTTGAAGGAACTTAGAACTAGAAAAGATATTGTCATAGTTCCAGCGGACAAAGGACGCACAACAGTAATTATGGACAAGGAGGAATACTTCAAAAAAGCCGAACAACTACTTGAAGATAAGAACACATACAAACTGATATATATAAATCCTGTCAAGAAATTGGACAACAGAATCTCAAAGACATTAAACAAGCTAGTCAAAGCAGGAGAAATAACAAAACAAGATCAATGGAGAATGAAATCCAATGGACCACTACTCCCTCGATTCTACGGCAGACCGAAAATACACAAACCAAACATTCCACTACGTCCAATTGTAGCACTGCCCGGAACGCCAACATACAATTTATCAAAAGAAATTTCACGAATACTGAAACATTTAGTCGATTCATCCAACCACTCTATCAAATCTCCTACACAATTCCTGCGCCAAATTAAGGACATTCAAATCAACCACGACGAACTGATGATATCCTTTGATGTAACAACATTATTCACCTCAATTGAACCAAAGTTAGCGAAAGAAACTATTTCCCTTCTCCTCGCCAACGACACGAATCTCACAAAGTACACAAAGCTTCAAAGTAAAAGTCTACTAGAACT